CCACGGGAGACATTACACACCGGGGACTCTGGCAGGGTTAGGCAAAAGTCACTCCAAATAGGAGTTAGAAAAGGGATAGTCAAATGGCTAAGGGACTGAACATAGGATTACAGGTCTTGGCTCTATCACAGGTGTCGTTTTTGACCACCTAGTGAGCTCTGCTGACACCTGGGATGGCTTGCCTTCCCGGGATCAGTGCTCATTCACATCCAAACCTCATGGACCATTATTAGCTGCCTTGGACAGACTCCAGTTCATCAGATCCTGTATAGCAATGTCTATTACACAGGTACTCATTCTTATTTAAAAAATTTATCATCTGCTTCCTGGAAAAAACAAATCCTGCAATAACCTACAGTGACTTTGAGGCTGTTACCGTCTGCTGTTTATTATTTAAGCACAGGATATTGCCTCTAATGTCTCTTCTCCTCATAACAAGGTGCGTGCTGAGGAGCAAAAGCAGCCTGACCCAAAGCTGAACAAGTGTTAATACATGCTTGAAACAGACACAAAGGAAAGCGGCAGGGATGCGGGGCTGGTGTGCAGAAGCCTGACGTGCCCGTCTCCAGCAGCTCCAGGACAGCCCCTTGCCCAGAGCCGGTCTCTGCGCGTGGGTTGCCCATGTCCCTCTTCTGCCCACGGGTAGCGGAGGGTGACAGCAGCCCCTGGGGTACCTACCATGGCAGGGACTGGTCCCAGGGACTGCCATGGGAATTACTGTAGTGGGATCTAATTCCTCGGTAACAGCCAGGATTGGGTCCCAAATTAGCACTTCCCAGCTTTCATTAGGTTTATTGGTCCTCGGGCCAATTTATCTGCTGGCGTAACTCCCCTGGGGATTGTGCCAGTAAAGACTTTAGCCTAATAATTTCCAATTGATTTCTGTAGCATTATTTTTGTGTGGCTTTGAGAAGACTATTTGTATATCTCATATAGACCTTGCAAAAGCAAATACCAATTCTGAAGGAAGATTTTGACTACGCAACTACTCTTTCAAGATAAAAAAAAAGAGTAGTCTAGACCATGGGCAAAAAATCCAGATTGAAATATGTTTAACAAATATGGGAAATTAATGCTCTCCTATATATTGCTTTGTGAGTTATTAGCACCTAAATATTCCCCATGGTGGAAAGTGTATTAATGAGCTGGAAGACAAAGCGATCTAATCAGAAGAGATCAGCAGTAATTTATCCTGCAGGAGATTTACATGCAGCAGCCATGTGTGTTTGTTTATGATCTCTACATCTGGTAATGAGTTTTTGACATGATGGAAAGCTGCGGTAGAATAATGCACCCTGTTCCTCACACTGACTAATTAATGCTCTACTTAATCCAGAAAAAGACACTTTAAAAATAAACACTAATTTTCAGCAGACCATAAAGAATAGGTAACAACTGAATCACATAGCATAGGCCTAAAAACTGGTGTAGCAACCTCACAAGCATCGAAAAAGGTGATCTTTAACTCCCAGAGTATCACGCAAAGAGTGCATGCACACATATACCTCCCTGACACTACAGACACTACATTAACGTTTCAATTGTTTCTGAAAGAGAAGTGCGAGTATATATTTTCTCCCTGCAGCATTTCTCCTTTTGCACCGCTTCAAGAGCAACAGACCTTGGATACCTGCAAAGATGATGGAAGCCTGGGTTATAATCTGTAGGAATGACAAAAACCAGTAAGAGATGGCACAGCTAAAATATTCCTTGTCATTCACACACCGGGTGTTAAAGTATGGGTTGCGTTCACAAGTTACCTACGGTAACATTGTTGGCCATCACCCTCGACCTCATTCTAACAACTGATGAAATAAGCAGTAGATTACAATTCCCGTAAGTGACATTGACAGGAGAAGCAGTCAGTGCAAAGATGGTCAGACATGGGATCCCCACCAAAAAGAGGGCTGGGGAGATGGTGTTCAGCCTGTTCTCTGCCTGCAGGGCTGGCTGCTGGA